TGAGTGTAGGTATACTAAAGTTATAAAGAAGTTGTAGTTATTTACAAAAATGCCATCAATGAAGTTTTATAATTACAAAAATGCCATCGTAAAGTAATTGTTTTGAGTCTTCATATTTATAAAATTGACATTAAAGAATCCTGATATTTATGAAAATGCCACCACAAAAACAAAAATATATCAGAAAACTGCTTTGGAAAACATCTGTATAATGTTTTGGTTTTTCAGTTTTTAAAACTAAAAAACAATCATTGTTTTGAAAATTATTTTGCAAAACAATCATTTCCAAATAGATTTTTTTACTTTTTAGTTTTAAAAATTTAAAAACTGTTTTTGAGAATAAGAATCAAACACAGCCTCAATTTCTATTGGTTGTGCTTTCAAGGAGCAAATACTCACTATAAGGGTTAACTAATTTTCTCATTACAAAAAGTAAAAAAATATACTTATTTGTGATCATAAATATTCAACTTTTTTTTTCTTATGCAGTAGTTCAAGGACAACTATAGTTTTGTTTATAACTCTGTTGTAAAACTCGGCCCGACCCGGTCGGGTCACCCCGTAACCCAGCGAATCGGTCATCAGACCGGTTCAGGTCAAGTATTGGATCAGTCATGCATCGGCCCGGACAAAATCGGCCAAACCCGGTGACCCAGTGACCCGATCAGGTCATGCATTTAAAAAAAAAAACCAAAAAACCAAAAAATCAAAATTGTTTCATCTTATTAGAAAAAAATGTAAAACACATTTTAAAAACTTTTTGTGATTTTATTTGCTAGTATACTCTTCTACAATGACATCAAATTTCAATTTCCAATACTGAAGCAATTTACGGAATAATAAACTAGTGAATGTGACATATGTCATTTTAGTGTAGTTGAATTTGAAAAATGAGTTCAATGTCATTGAGAGGTATGTTTATGGGGATTCTGAGTTACAATTTAAATTGACATAGTAATAGTGTGCATTTTTATTTATTTATGCTTCATGTTTTTGAGTTTATTTAGTGAAACCTTATTTAATTCATTTTGGATATGGTCCATATGGAGAATATAATTGATTTTATATATTCATATTTATATATATTTTTATATATCTATATATATTCGGGTCAACTGGTTCGACCGGTGACCCACCGGTCCGACCAATAACCCAATGACCCAGTATTCCGACTGGATCGATGCCCGGATTGGATTTAACTCGTGTTAAGAAAATCGGACCGACCCGGCCGGGTTGACCCAGGAACCGGTAAACCGGTCATATAACCGGTCCGGTTGAAGCAATGGACCGACCATGCATCAGAACCGGTGCGACCCGCCGATTTTCATGAAAATTGATGACCCGGTCGATTAACCGATGCCCTGACTCGGTCCCAAAAAAAAATCCAAATTTTTGTTTTCAAAAATAATGATAATGGACATATTTGAATATTTTTTTGCTTATTGACTTACATAAGTTATGTACCTGCAACATTAATATTATCTCCATTATGTACTATGCAGAAAATTTTGATTTGATTTATAGTTAGAGATGTTGTTTTCTGAACCTATAGCCCCGTATCACGATCATTATATTTTTGTTTGATCTTTTATTGGATAATAATATGTGATTTATTATTTTTTATATTAAAATATTTGAAATTTTTATCATTTTTTTTAGATATTTGAAAATGTTTATAATTTTTTAAAATAAATTATAAAATTGCATATAATTATCAAGTTATGCGGTTGAACCAGTGATCCAGTGACCTAATACCTTAACCGGACAGATTTTAATAACATTGAATTTAACAACACTGGTTTATAACACTACAAAGGAGATGCATGTGATGTTGACCAGAGAACATTATTATATCATGGGGAGATAATAAATTCATGTATTTGATGCGTACATATTATCCATGAAATTTATCACCCAATCTAATATACTTTATTTTTAATTAAAATAAAAATTCACAATTTCTTTTTATTATTTTTCCTGATTACACTGTATTATGGCCTTTAAAATATACATGCGAAATAGATTTAATCTTAGAATACATATTATTATCGTTAATATTTTAATCAAAGCAATTTCGAGTCACTGATAAAAATCTCTGTGTTCAAATCAATGTTATTAAACCCGGTCCGGTTATTGACCCGATTGAGGTACTAGGTTACTGGTTCAACCAGTGAGTCACTGGTTCAACCAGTGAGTCACTGGTTCAACCAGTGAGTCACTGATTCAACCGCATGACCCGGTAAATATATGTAAATCTACAATTTATATTAAAAAACTATAAATATAATTAAATACTTGTAGAAAAGAATACCAATTTCAAATATTTTAATATGAAAATAATAAATTACACATCATTGTCCAACAAAAGATCAATCAAACATATAATATTTGTGATACTAGTTTCAGGTTCAGTAAGCGACATCTCTAATAATAAATCAAATCAAAATTCTCTGCATATTTCATAATCAAGATAATATTAGTATTGTAGGTACATAATCTATGTAAGTTAATAAGCTACAAATCACTCAAATATTTCAAAAGAAAACAAATCATTTGTGTTTGAGAGTAAAAAAAAAAAGACATTAATTTCTGAAAATAAATTAGTTTTTTTTTATAGACCGGGCCGGGTCACCGGATCACCAGTTTTTACGAAAATCGGCCGAATCGCACTAGGTTACACCGGTTCTGTAACATAGTTAGTCGAATATAAAAACCGGACCTGTTACATGACTGGTTCACCGATTTCTGGGTCGACCCGGCCAGATCGGTCCAATTTTTGTAACACTGGTTCAAATTCACGAAAGAATTAATCTTATTAAATAGGTGATGGTTCTCTTGAAAAACTAAAATAAATAAATAAAGGGTTAGTGTGTGTCGTTTAAAAAGACACAAGTTGTGTCTTTTTAGTGACTTACACATTGTATGACTTATCATACTCTATAATTATGAAAAGTTATTTTGTTTTCACTTTACACATCAGTGATATGACTGAGGAGAGAAAAAAAAACTTTTCAAATTTACTCAAAATATGACCGATTAAAATTTATGTAAATCATCTAAAAAGACACAACTTATATCTTTTAAGTAATACTTCTTTTTCCCGTAAATAAATCCTAGCATTGACGATAATCTTTTTCATTCTGTTGCGTGCTAGAATATCCAGCCTGTTTGGTACGGGCCTTTGTTTACAAAGGGGAAAAGTATGGCCAGGGATAGGATAAGGATGACGCTTCAAAAATTTGGAGTGATTTTTCTTTTTCTATATATATATATACATAAAGGGGACACTTTTTCTGCAGCTGCTGTAGAGAATTACTATCTGCAGCTGACACAAAAAATGGGCCCCACTATTTTATTTTTTTAAAAAAAATAGGATCCGGTACCGTATCCTAGTCTTCGGTTCCGTATCATGGCTTACTGTATGTGCAGCGGCTGCAGAAATCATTTTGCCATATATAAAAGTAAGAATTGAATATATAATTAATGGATTCGTTTTTTCTACAGATAATGTAGATAAATTATCTATATTAAGCCCACAACGACGTCATTTTGAGGCGAAAATCAAGTTATTTTTATAATTATAATTTATTTCAAGTTATAATAGACTATTTTATTATATTTTTTTATTTTTCAACTTAAAATAACGTCATTTTAAAAGTGAATATATATAATTTATCTACCTTTGCAGTAGAAATATGAGTATCACTATATCACTCGTAATAACTTATTTGGAGTGATTTCTCATAAAACGATAATTCACATGTTTTCTTGCATACGTGGCTATGCAAAAATTATAAAAACAAAATCTTGAGCAAAGAAAAATATCCAACAAACGGGATAAGAGGAAAATATTTTCGATATTATACATGTATTGAGTGATATACCGAATTACCGATCATTCGATATATTTTTATTAAATATGAAAAAAATAATATTTATATTATCTTTATTTGTATAAATATTATTTTTTATATGGAAAACCTACTGTCGTGGAAAAAAATATACTCGTGTAAGAGAATCTGCTCTGTGGTGACGATAGCAATGAATGACATTTTCCTTTTCTGGTTCATTTGTACTCTTTTTTATGAAAAACTTTTGTATTATTTTTTATGTTAAATTTTAATAATTTCTAAACTGATTTATAACATTGACAGAGTTATAAAAAAAGATAGACAGCATGATAAACGTCACACGCTCTTAAAATTATAAACTATTCTTGCTTAATGCATAATTTTTGTTATTTGATTTATAATTTTAAAATATAATATAACTTTTTTATTTAAAAAAAGAACCGTAATAAACAATTAAACACGATTCTTTCTACGAGAAAACAAGATTCCATGAAAGTTGGCAGCTACCGGTCAAAGATTTTATCAATAATGTATTGGGCTTGAAAATTATCATGATTCATGAACTACTAGTCCCAATTACATATAATATATATTAAAAAAAATTAAAATAATAATTTAGAAGAGAAAAAAAAATTACAATCATGAAGAACATACACAATTAATTTCAAAGAATCAGAAATTTAAAAATAATGAATAATAATGATTCAACTATATTATGGGTAATATTACTCTTATCTTACATGAAAGTAGTTTTCTCATGCTATAGAGAAAATTCAAGTGGAGACCACCATTCAAAAGCCAAAAAAAGAAAAAAAGAAAAAAAGAAAAAAAAAAGGTGCACTTTTCGAAGTGAGAAAAAATGAAATAATTATCTCATATAAAATGAGAGTAGTATTTCTCTTATATTATTCATGTTCATTGGAAACAGAAAAAGTTGATAGGATATTATAAAGGAAAAAATAAATATTATGCTGTAAAAAAATAATACAACTTTTTTTCTCTTATATCATTTTTTTATTTTCTCTGGCCACTCTTTTTTCTCTGTCTATGTTTGTGTGTGAGAAATGGTACTATATTCTGACAACATAAGCATCCTAATTTAACACGTTTGTTGAAGTTACGTTATTATTTTTATATGGTTAAGGTGGCATAAGCAACAAGTCTTCACTTCACTGCTCTTAATTGAGCCACCCCATAATCTTTGCCTAGTTTGAAGTGTGGCAACACCATGGATTCTCCTTTGTTGGGAGGAAATGCTTTGAAACCCAATAAGCACAAATGGAAGATCATTCTCTGCTTCCTCCTTGTCTTCGTCACTGTCACGAGTTAGTTCTCTCCTATTCTTTATGACAATTTTTTTCAATTTTTTTTAGTCATAAGCTATTTAGATTTATGAACTTTCAGATGATTGATTATGGGGTAAAAAGAAAAATGAATTGAGAAACCACCAAGATAACTGGTTGATTGAATTCAATAATAGACCCAAAAAGAGCTGAAAATAGAGGCCAAGTATTCTAATTTTTAGAGGTTTGTTTTGTTTTTTCTCAATTAAGATTGTGAATACTGAACATATACATGGAAAAAGATTAACTTTTGGTATAGCCACCATAAAGGATATCTATCACCACCACCAATCCCCATTAAACCCATACTAGAGGGTGAGTGAGGTGAGGGCAAACACAGTTATTATATATTACATATTTGCAAAGAGGGATATTTCCAAGATTCGAAGACCTTTTGGCCACCACAATGGATAAGAAACATAAATTGAATGTGATATAGAATCTAGAACAAAAGGTACACATGAGAGGGTGACTGGTATATTGAACTTCACAATAACGCAATTTGATTATCATATTGATCTATAGTAATAGTATCTAATGCTTAGCACAATTCATTTTTCAGTTGTTGGGCTAGCAGTTAGAAGCAGTATAAATTTTGGGGTACTACAAGGGGCAGAAAAACATAATGAGGGAATCACAACCCATGAGGGAGATATTATTGAATCAGAGGTAGGAGTTGTTGCAGCTGATGATGTTAGGTGTTCTGAAATTGGTGCTTCAATGCTTGGGAAGGGTGGGCATGCAGTTGATGCTGCAGTGGCCACTGCATTATGCATTGGTGTTGTTTTCGCAGCATCAAGTGGCATTGGAGGTGGCGCTTTCATGGTTGTCCGGCCTTCTTCAACCTCCCAAACTCAAGCTTTTGACATGAGAGAAACCGCTCCTTTAGCTGCTTCACAGGTTTGAGGTTTACTCTTTCTGCTAAACCATTGAAGTTGTTAAACCACATGACTGAAATTGTTGAACGAATTGGACCAAATTAGCATGTGATTTTAAGATGTTGGCCATGTTTTGTACACGAGGAATAAACAACAAATCGAATTGAAAATGACACTTTCTTACTTGTTATTTTCTTAGGAGACACTGCCATTAAGACTTCATTCCCCTCCTTCCCCCTACTTCTGCAGCTTACTTAGACATGTTGAAAGCTAGCAGATAATATATCATTTTGATCATTTTCGTTCGCAGAAATCTACAATAATGCAACTTACGTTTGTGTAAATATGTGAATGTCAACAAACAGAATATGTATGAGAACAATCCCAAAGCTAAGACCTCAGGTGTCTTGTCAATGGGAGTTCCTGGTGAGTTAGCTGGCCTTCATGCAGCCTGGTTGAAGTATGGACGATTGCCATGGAAGACCTTATTCCAACCAGCCATAGAGCTTGCTAAAAATGGTTTTGTAGTGTCTCCTACTCTTGGAGATTACATAGCTAGAGATGCAAATAAGATACTGAATGATCCTGGGTTAAAAGACATTTATGCACCTAATGGAATTTTGTTAAAAGGAGGGGATATATGTAGGAATGTGGAACTTGGTCGCAGCTTAGATGTAGTGGCAGAGCAAGGGCCACTAGCTTTTTACAATGGAACCATTGGTGAAAAGTTAGTAAAGGATGTCAGAGAAGCTGGTGGGATTTTAACAATGGAGGATCTACGCAATTACAAGGTGGAAATAACAGATGCAATGACTGTGAATGTGATGGGATACACCATATATGGAATGCCACCTCCTTCATCTGGAACACTGGCTCTTTCTCTGGTGGGTAGATTCCTATCCCTTCTTTTCTTTATGCTGTTTCCATGTTGCTCTGTTGAAATCATGACATTATCCTCTCTTTCAGGAATTTAATAATGAAAATATGTAAATAGACATGTATTTTGTTTTGGTTCAAGGATTGGAACATGTCACTGAACCATCTATCCTGAAAGTTTAAACTGTTGGGTGAAAGTAGTATAAATGTTTTTTATATCTATAATGCAGTTAGATGTTACACATTTGATATCAACGCATAATGTTGTTACAATTGTTTCTTTTTCTTGGTTATTATTTAGTTGTATGTCTGTGTATTTTAATAATTGGTATGAACAGGTTCTAAACATCTTGAACGGTTATGGAGGTCCTGATGGTGCAAAGGGAAATCTTGGTCTACATAGACTAATAGAAGCTCTGAAGCACATGTATGCTGTCAGGATGAACTTGGGTGACCCCAACTTTGTAAACATTAGTGGTACTGTATCCGATATGCTTTCCCCATCTTTTGCACAAGATATTCGGAAAAAGATACTTGATAACACTACTTTCCCTCCAGAATACTATATGAACAAGTTAGGTCCACTTGTCTTAGTAATTTGAATGAAAACTTTGCCTTTTGCTTGATATGTTGCAAAGTCACTAGGTTGTTAACATGAAGGGTATTCATAACCATGATGGGCAGGTGGAGTCAACTTAGAGATCACGGAACAAGCCATTTGTGTATTGTGGATGCTGATAGAAATGCTGTATCACTGACAACAACAGTGAACTTCGATTTTGGATCCGGGTTTCTTTCTACTTCTACTGGTATTGTGATCAACGACGAGATGGATGACTTCTCTACACCAACTGATATATCCGTTGATAAACTACCTCCAGCTCCAGCAAATTTTATTGAACCAAACAAAAGACCATTATCTTCCATGACTCCTATTATCGTCACAAAGGTATTGCTTGCAGCTTGCTCATTGTGATTTTTGCCAGCCACAAATTGCTGCAATTTGATAAGCAATGGATTTTGGGTGACATAATAGTTTTTCCTATACAAAATGCAACTTAAGTAAGCCACTATTAGTGGGTTTGTGATGAGGAATTTGATAAGTTTGCAAGAGCTCATATGTTCAAATCTTTTTGCTTTTTAAATTTTGGGGAGTGAAGATTCTTATACACAAAGCTTCCTCTTGCTAACCTTTGGCAGGATGACCAATTGGTCGGAGTAATTGGAGCCAGTGGTGGAATGAATATTATACCAGCAGTGATTCAAGTCTTTATTAATCATTTCTTGTTGGGAATGAAACCCTTGGATGCAGTTGTCAGGCCAAGGATCTATCACAAGGTTCTAACTAATCTTCATTCAATTAGTTTCTTGAGAAATGTTACCAACACACTCTTTGGTACTCTCTTTTTTAACACTCTTTATTATGGGGTTAAAGAATGGATCCAATTGATACATAAAGTGTTGAAATGAAAGTATTAAAGTGTGTGTTACTAGCATTTCTCTTTTAACTTTTTTTTTATGTTCTTATGCTTCAAAGTACACATGTAATTTGGATGTTTAATCTCTTGCAGCTAATACCAAATGTAGTTAGGTATGAGAACTTGACAGCACATGATGGTGAACACATAGAGCTATCAGAAGAAAGTAGGGTTTTCCTAAAAGAGAGAGGTCATAAACTGAAAGGGACTCCAGCACTAGCTATCACTCAGCTTATTGTCCAATCTCTCAAAAAACCAATTAACATGAATAGCAAGACTGGGGAACACACCAATTCACATACAAAGCATGGCACTCTAACAGCTGTAAGTGACCCTAGAAAGGGTGGATGTCCAGCTGCAGTTTAATTCTATTGATCAATTCAGGTTGAAACAATAAAAAACACGTTTCAAAATTAAAATGGGAAAAGTTCATTAATGCCCTTGAAGTTTATTTTAGAATCACTTATGTTCCTATGGTTTTTTTTTATCACATATGTCCATGTGGTTTGTAAAAAGGTATTTTTTTATCGGATATGCTCATGTGGTTTTTTATTTCTTACAAATCTCAGGAGCATATGTGATAAAAAAAAAATCATAGAGATATAGGTGATTCTGAAGCAAATCACAGGGGCATTGGTGAATTTTTTCCAATTAAATTTAAAATAGATTTTTGCCACGTTGCATGAAGGACAAAAAATGTTTTTGTGGACAATAAAATCCCTGTGGTATTTGTAACTCTGTAAAATTTAAATACAATGATTGCCTCGATATCCTCACATATCGATACTTTCTCTATATTATTTGGTTTATATATATTAAGATAGGAAAAAAGAAGAATAATATTGTAGGAAAGTTGTTAGTTTATGTTATGAGATAGGGATTGTGGAATTTACACTTGTTTTCAAAAAATAAAAAATCAAAACAAGTGTGGGTCTTACAATTACAATCTCTATCTCTATAACATAACTTAAAAACTTTCCTACAACATTATATTTCTATTTCCCGTTAAAATACATATTAAGGTTATTGAATTGCGAATAGTTAGGCTGTTTTTTTTTTTTTAATCATAAACGGTAAGAATTCTAAGATTTGGAAACATAATTTATAAATAAATATAATGTAGTGGTTTCATGATTTTTAAACAAGTTATTGTTAAGATTTATTAAAATTTTAAATTTATGAATGAAATGAGTGTGATGAGTGCTTTGATATTTTCAAGGAGTGTATAACTTGTACTAAATATTAATTTTAAACGATTAGATGAATAAATTATAACTTGTAAATGATAAGCTAATTAGTGACCTTTTAGATTTTCAACTTTTCATATTGTAAATAATAAGCTTTTAAGCTGAACTAAATCACACTATTCCAGCAATCTGACAATTCATTCTATAATTTATATCGTTAGGATAGTGAATATTAATTCGTACTATTTGAATCATGAATGATACAATTTCTGCATCATTGCTATATATTAGGATGCAAATCATCATCCCCTTCTCTTCAACACTTATACCGCATTCTCATGATTTTGCATCCAAGGCCTCCAAATATTCAATTGTAGGAAAGTCCATTTGAAAGCCATGTCCATGCAATTGAGCCTAAAATAAAATTAATCTCCAGTCACCATTTTTCAGCTTGAAAATGGGTAGAGTAGCCTCATGTCATGGATTTGAAATTATCAGGGTTTTGGGGTAATACCAAGTGACAATTTTATTTTTTATTTTTTTTTAAAAAAGAAAAGTTCATAATCATTCCTGCAAGGGAGGAGAGAGAAAAATAAAACCAATAAAAACACTTGTATTTTTTGGTAAATACCGACAAGTGTCCGAAGCTCTAATGGATCCGATTAATCCGATTATTTCGCATTTGATCGGACTAAACACGATGAAAACACTCTATTTTCAATCATAAGGAAAATTGGAGATTAATTAACTTTACTTTATTGTACACACTAAGTAATAACAATGAGAGTCAATAATGACATGTAAATCACACTGGGCATACTTTTTTTTTTCTAAGCTTTATCCATCAGCTGAATTGGAGTCAGAATATTGGATTTGCTTGTCTCCACAATACAACCATTCATGACCATTTCCTCCAACATAAAATGTGCCTTTTCTAGATGGAACATGATATCTAGCTCACACTGCAAGTATAAGTGAACAAGAGAAATATAAACATCTATGGAAGGAAAAAAAAGAAAGATATTACGAAATAGGAAATTCAAGAAACATAAAACCCCAGAGACAGCAATCACACCAGGACTTACCACATTGCCAAAATGACGATCCATGGTTTCCACTAGGAGATGTATAAATTCCAAAATAGCCAGCTCATTCTGCAACATTATCCACACAAGGTAGAATAGGCATTCAAGCAGAATTTGAAATACATCATATTAATAACTTCAGGCTGTTTTTATTTTACAACTCAAACGTTCTCTCCATTTATTTAGACAAGCAAATCTTCCATTATGTCTTTGAGGAAAATGACACTTGAAGCCATGTGTAATAAGTTCATAGCTAGAGTATTTCACACATTTATTTATGTTATGACGAGATTTATGTATTTAGTATTTACGTAGTTTTGGTTGCTTCAAATTATTAATCGTCTTTCCATGAACCAATTCAAAAGTAAAAAAAAGACAGAGAGAAAATGACTTACCTCATCATTATCAACTCCAACCAGGAAAAACAAAGATGCATAGCGCCTATATACAATTTTGTAGTTGCGATGCTCAACAAATGAACACTGTCCATTATGAAAATGTATCAGTTACAACTGGAAATCAGGTACTGTCAACAGCAAAAATAATAAGACACTTCAATCCCACATATTTGGGATAAACTGCATGGACACTATCAAAACAAATGTAAACTAGGACATAGATACCACACTTCCAATTTCTTGATTTCATTTGAAAGAGGTGACTATATAAATACAGTAAGTAATATCTTAATGAGAATATGAAAATTTTGAAATATATATACCTTAGATAAAAACAGAGAAAAAAATTAAAAAAATAAACTCATAAGGCTTCTTAAAAACAAAGATATCTACTCCTAGACAAGGTTGTTAAATTTGAGATCCTACCTAGGATTGGACAAGGGCAGTAAACATGTAAAACATGAGATCATAACAAGGAAAGTAAGATCCTACCTATAATATAAAAGTATATTTAAAAATATGGACATATATAATAACACAAATAAGCATAATATCATCAAAATCAATAAATCAAAAGATTTAAATAGTTTGTGATATAAAATGTATAATAGATGTGTGACTCATGAGTTTATAAGAAAGTAGAAGCCTTAGAAGAAACAAACAGAATCAAAGAAGTAGCATATAATATACTGAGCCTCTGCAACACCAAGAAATCCTAAAACTTGTAGAAGCAATTCAGGGACCTAGCTCAAAACCAAGCCCAGCACCCACTCTCACAGACTGCTCACACACACCTCAAGAAACCATTGCACCACATCAGAGTGAATCACTGGCCACCATCATAAGTCACAGACTCACAGCAAGCAGAGTCACACAAAAGCACAGACCCAGTCACACCCAAAGGTAAACATCACATAAGGGGAGGAGCATAAACCCAGTTGCACCTGAGGGAAGCTCTAGCACAGAGGTCACACACTAGGAAAGGCTCGTACACAAGGGAAGGAGCAATGGCTTTTGGCTGCTGGATGGGAAACTCCAAGTTTTCCTGCTCCGCCAACTGAAAATGGAGGTTTAGGTATGATCTTCCGATCTTACTTGCAACCCCAGCAAAATCAGTTTCTTGCTGGGATCAGGATCATTCCACCTAGCAAAACTCGTAAAATCATGCAACCCTACAATATAAATTGCAATTATGACAACTTGCTCCTAGGCATCCCAGCATCCCAGGTGACTCAATTTCAGCTAATTATAAAAGCTTCACTGACTCACACAACTCTTGCTGAAACCAAAAAACAATAAACCGATACGATAAATAGGAATTTACTTAACTCCTTTGCAGAATAGCATAAGCTTATATAAAATGACCTTCAGCAGGCAAGACTCCCCAAATGTTACAGTATGAATCACAAACCTAAACATGCTGTACGCAATCACATGGTAAGTTGGTAACTACTTCTAAGCATAAGAGTAATCTACATTCTATGGCCTGTTCAGAAATCAGCATAAGGATCTCTATATTTAGCCATCGCAAGCAATCTCAATTCTCCACCAATCCCAATTCTGAATACAAATACCTCTTAACGCACCCTTTGCAACTTACATCTAAGCTCATACCTCACACCATGGGCTATTATTCCATATCCAAAAAAAAAAAAAAAAAAGACCTTCAGTTTCGTAATGTCAACTAATCCCCATGAACAAATCGTAATTATTTTTATTATTCTTCACGATATCTTCTACTACTCAACACTAAAATCTAAAAATAAAATAAAAAAATCTATAAAAAAAAAAAGGCTTGGTGTTGTAAAGAGTAAAACTTGAAGTGGTTTAATTGCGACATAAATCAACAAGAATAGAAAGAGAATTGAAAACCAATATGGATCTAAACAAATTATGGGTTGTCAGAAACCCATTTTGATGAACATGCTGATCTTTGATTAAAATCACAAGAAAAAGTAACAAAAAACGAAACATGATTTCATTGGGTAACAGAAATTGAAGAGAAGAAGGAACCTGCTGTTCATTACGAGCGAGGCATTTGCGAACGATTTCACCTTCAAGGGCTCGCCTTTCTTCAATAGTGAGGTACTCGTAGTATTGGGCAAGACGTGTCTGCCCTTGTTTGTTTACCATCAATACGAATCGGATCCCCATTTCGATTAAACCCTAACTCCACACTTTCTCCTTCACCACTGCAAGTTCTTGGTTTTATTAATCTTCAAAATGTTGTGTATTGTCCCGTAGTAATACGAAGGAAGATATTAGACAATAGAATATAAAACTACTGAAAAAAAAATCAAAATTTTTGTCGTCAGTCGGTTGGTTAATCACATTGTAAATCTTATACTTACAAAAAAAATTTGTGTTTCTATTTTGTTCTATTGAAAAAACCACGACATTGACACAGAATTTATTCGTAAAATTAGAATATATAAATATATAACCATATATTTAACGCAATGTATTTAATCTCAATACTTCAACTCTACCAACAATAATTTGGTTAAAAATATGAAAACGTGTTGCCGGGTAGGGTGGGCCGACCTTCTGGGCCGAGCCCATTTTGTCACCTCTAACTTTCAACATTTTATATCAGTTATATATGTTTTCCATATTTATCCATAAAAAAAGGTTCTAATAGTTACGTCTAAATTACTATATATATATATATGCTTTCTATATTTGCCTTTAAATCGATTTCATGAGGTGTGTGTATTTGTGACATATATATTAGATGAAGAGTTGACAAATATTTGAGTTAGTATGTTTAATAGTCTAACAAAAATTTCATACTTGAAGCTACGTGATAATATCAAAGGACCATTTATTAGCTTAATTGCATAAATAAAAAATAATTATTCATAAAATTAGATATATATATATATATATATATATATATATATATATATATATATATATATAACCATATATTTAATGCATTGTATTTAATCTCAATAATACTTCAGTTCTACCAACAATTTGGTTAAAAATATGAAAACATGTCGCGCGGGGTGGGCGGCCCTCCGGGCCGAGCCCATTTTGCTACCTCTAACTATTAACATTTTATATCTGCATGTAATAGGTTTTCATATTTATCCACAAAAAAAGGTTCTTAAAAAGGTTCTTATACTTGCGTCTAGATTGCTATGCATCTATATTTTCTGTAGTTATGACATATATTAGATGAAGAGTTGAAAAATATTTGAGTTAGTACGTTTAACAGTCTAACAAACATTTCATAGTTGAAATTATTTTGTAATATCAAAAGACCGTTTATTAGCTGAATTGCATAAATAAAAAATAATTATTCATAAAATTATAATATATATATATATATATATATATATATATATATATATATATATATAGGAAAAATATTTCTCAAGCAGGTTAAGATAAATTTATCTCTGGCTATCCCAAAACTACGTCTTTTATTTATTTATTTTCTTATATTAATTTATTCACCTTTGAATGGTTATGATTTCATTTTTCTCTCTCTTCCTTTATTACCGTTGATCCGTCCTTGTACGGTTATGATTTAGTAGCCGGAGATAAAGTTATCTCAAGCTGCTTGAGAAATGATAAGCCCTGATATATATATATATATATATATATATATATATATATATATATATATATATATATATATATATATATATATATATATATATGTATGTATGTATGTATAACGCATTGTATTTAATCTCAATAATACTTCATCTCTACCAATAATAATTTGGTTAAAAATATGAAAACGTGTTGCCGGGTGGGGTGAGACGGCCCTCCGAGTATGTATAACGCATTGTATTTAATCTCAATAATACTTCATCGCTACCAATAATAATTTCGTTAAAAATATGAAAACGTGTTGCCGGGTGGGGTGAGACGGTCCTCCGAGCCGAGCCCATTTTGGCACCTCTAACTGTCAGCATTTTATATCAACTATATATGTTTTCCATATTTATTCATAAAAAAAAGGTTCTCATAGTTGCGTCTAAATTACTATCTATATATGTTTTCTATATTTGCCTTTAAATCGATTTCTTGAGGTATGTGTATCTGTCTGTGACATATATATTAGATGAAAAGTTGACAAATATTTGAGTTAGTACATTTATTATTCTAACAAACGCTTCCCACCTATCAAGTTAAAGATTCAACTATACATATATTTTTATTAATTTTAAATAAATTTTGTTTAATTTATAAACTATTGTATTAATTTTTATTTTATTATATTCATATATATTTTTTTCATTAGAGAAATATTAAATTCTTTTCCCCCTATCAAGTTACAAATTCAAATTTAAAAAGTTTGAATTTTAAATATTAAATTTTTTTCCATCCAATAGACATAATAATAAATTTTCTATTTGTTTGTTTAGGTTTTTAAAAAAAAATTAAAAATCCAATGATACAGAAGGCCATCATTAATAGCATTAAAATTCCAAACATTTTTTGCTATCCTTATTTTGTAGTCACCTCATTTTTAAGGCATTTAATTACTTGAATGGCACGAACGAATGACCTACATTAATGAATTTCAAATAAAATTCAATTTGTTTGTTTAGGTTTTTTTTATAAAAAAAAAATCAAAAACTAAAATTTCAAATGTTACAAAAGGCTATCATTAATAGCATTAAAATTCCAAAGTTTTTTTACTATCATCATTTTTTAATCATCTCGCTTTTTTAATGCATTTACTTTAATGACACGACTAATGACCTTCTTTGCCTTTTCAAAGAAGTGGGATATTAATGCACATGTCTGCCACTAATTAATGTTGATCTCTTTTCTATGGGTCTTTTGGTTTTTCGATAAATATGGTAAAAAGTATTCAATGTTTTTTAAAATGAGGGTTAACAATTTTCATGTAAAAAGTAGAGGAAATTTAATATAGTTGTTTTCTACTAAAAGATGTTAAATTCTTTTCCCACCTATATCAACTTCAAATTTCGAAATTTAAAAAAAAAAGTGGGATATTAATGAACCTGTCTGCCACTAATTAATGTTGAACTCTTTTCTTTGGATCTTTTAGTTTTTCGATAAACATGGAAAAAAACATTAAATGTTTATTAAAATGAGGGTTAACAGAAAATAGTGGAAATTTAATATAGCTGTCTCCCACTAAAATATGTTAAATTCTTTTTCCACCTATATCAACTTCAAATTTTAAATTTAAAAATGAAGTGGGATATTAATGCATATGTCTGTCACTAGTTAATGTTGAACTCTTTTCTTTGGGTCTTTTGGTTTTTCGATAAATATGGAAAAAAAGCATTCAATGTTTTTTAGAATGAGGGTTAACAATTCCCATGTAGAAAATAGTAAAAGTTTAATACAGCTGTCTCCCACTAAAAGATGTTAAATTCTTTTCTACCTATATCAACTTCAAATTTCGAAATTTAAAAAAGAAGTGAGATATTAATGCACATGTCTGCCACTAATTAATGCTAATAGACATAATAATAAATTTTCTATTTGTTTGTTTAGGTTTTAAAAAAATAATTAAAAATCCAATGATACAGAAGACCATCATTAATAGCATTAAAATTTCAAACGTTTTTGGCTATTCTTATTTTTTAATCACCTCATTTTTAATGCATTTAATTACTTGAAAGGCATGAACGAATGACCTACATTAATGGATTTCAAATAAAATTCAATTTGTTTGTTTAGTTTTTTTTAAAAAAATCAAAAACAAAAATTTCAAATGTTACAAAAGGCTATCATTAATAGCATTAAAATTCCAAAAAAAATTTACTATCATCATTTTTTAATCATCTCATTTTTTTAATGCATTTACCTTAATGACATGACTAATGACCTTCTTTGCCTTTTCAAAGAAGTGAGATATTAATGCACATGTCTGCCATTAATTAATGTTGATCTCTTTTCTATGGATCTTTTGATTTTTTGATAAATATGATAAAAAGTATTCAATGTTTTTTAAAATGAGGGTTAACAATTCCCATGTAGAAAATAGAGAAAATTTAATACAGTTGTCTCCCACTAAAAGATGTTAAATTCTTTTCTCACCTATATCAATTTCAAATTTCGAAATTTAAAAAAAAAGTGGGATATTAATGAACCTGTCTGCCACTAATTAATGTTGAACTCTTTTCTTTGAGTTTTTTGGTTTTTCGATAAATATGGAAAAAAACATTAAATGTTTTTTAAATGAGGGTTACTAATTCCCATTAAAAAATAGTGGAAATTTAATACAGTTGTCTCTCATTAAAAGATGTTCAATTCTTTTCCCACCTATATCAATTTCAAATTTTAAATTTAAAAAAGAAGTGGGATATTAATGCATATGTCTGTCACTAATTAATGCTGAACTCTTTTCTTTGGGTCTTTTGGTTTTTCGATAAAAAATTGTTAAACTCTTTTTCTACCTATATCAAGTTTAAAATTTGAAATTTCCCACCTATATCAAGATTAAAATTCAAATTTTAAAAAAATAGTGAGATATTAATACAAATGTCTGCCAACAATTAATGTTGAACTCACTTCCCACCTAATAAAGTTTAAATTTCAAATTGTGCAAATGAGGGTGACTGTCTGTCATTGAAAATGAGGTACTGTTATTTCATTTTCAAGTGTAATTAAATAGTTGATAGTAAAAGATGCAACTACTTGAAGTATGTGCTTATATGCATGAATGCTTTAATTAACCTACGCTCATAAGATCAATTCAATTAACATGCGCTCAAAAGATGCAATACATTGATTTTTGTATTAAAACTTATAGGCACTTTTAAAATTCCAATGTTTCTGGCAGATTCTTATAATATCTATCAAGTTTCAAATTCGAATTTGACAATTTCCCACCTATCAAGTTAAATATTTAAATTTGAAAAGTTACTAAAAGAGAAAAAATTGAAAGTGATTTCAAGTGTGAATAAAAAGTGAATATTAAAAGCGAGAGCCATGTATGATCCTATTTATACTCGCAATTAAAGGCTTTCTTAAAGTTTTTTTATAATATAATAATACATTTTCCAATTCCAATAATACACTTTTCAATTCCAATGTAGAAAGTAATGAGATTTTAAATGATGTGTCTGCCCCCAAAAAATGTTCAACTCTTTTCCCATTCCCACTATATCAAATTTAAAATTCATATTTTAAAAAGTAGTGGGATATTAATATACCAATAAATATCGATGGTATGATTTTATTTTCTCAATCAATAGTAAAGTATTAAATCATTAGTATATTTCCAAA